TCATTTGACAATTAAGCAAACCTAAACCTAATGTTTAATTGTAAAAATTTTAATGACACTTCTTTATGCCATGATTTTCTACTTGTTTATTTTATATCTCGTTTATGTAGCCACGATCTATTCCAGTTCCCGGAGTTGGCCTAAACAATGTGTTTTATCTTCGTACATTCGAAGATTAGGAGAAAATTGAACAAGGTTAATCATAACTTTCATTACTTTGTTTTTTTAGCTCAAATTTTTGGCTTATTTATCCCGAATAACATAGCTATCGGTAAAGAAGAAAGGAAGAACCTCGCAATTATTGGGTCTTCTTTTATTGGAATGGAAATGGCAGCGGTTTGTGCCAAAAAAGCTAATGTCTCTGTTATTGGCATGGAAAAGGTTTTCTGGAATTATTCATCACTTGCACATCGTGATCAAGTATGAACTATGATATATAACGTAGCGTCTTTTTTCTAGGTTCCTTTTGAAAGAGTACTTGGTATTGAGGTTGGAGGTGCAATTCAAAAGCTGCATGAAGCAAGCGGTATCAGCTTTTATTTGCAATCTGGTGTTAAGGAAATTGAGCCCTTGGGTTAGTATGTTTAACATTAATACGCTTAATATGCTTTTTTTTTGATCATATTCACCTAAATTTTGTTGTATTTTTAAGATATTGATCCTAGCAGAGGAGGTGCTGTAATATTAACAGATGGAAGAAAGATTCCCGCTGATGTAATAGTAATCGGAGCAGGTGTAGCACCAGCAACTGTAAGAATACAATAGCAAGTGTTTTTGTTTAGCTAGTTATTTATTTATTTCGTTCAATTTTGCTGCAGGAATTTCTGAAAGGCTCACCAGGATTTACATTAGAAAAAGATGGTAGTCTTAAAGTCGACGAGAATTTCAAAATTGAAGGGCTTTGTGACGTTTTTGCAATTGGTAGGTTCATCATACAAGCGTATCAAATAATATTTCTCAAACGTCAATTTTTTTGCTCACCTAATCCGATTCTAAAAGGTGATGTCGCAAGATTAACATACCATAAGACCGGAGAGTCGATCCGCATTGAGCATTGGGTATTGTTGAATAGCTAGATAAACAATAAATAAAAAGGAAACGGACTAATTTCTTATATTTTAGTCGTTTGCCGAAAATACCGGTCGAGCAGTCGCTGGAATCATTGCTAAAAAGCCGTCCGTTTCGTTCAAAAAAATCCCATACTTTTGGAGTAATCAACTCGGCAAAGGAATACGTTACGCTGGTTATGCCAGTAGTTTTGATGATGTTATTATTCAAGGAAGTCTGGAAGAATTTAAATTTGCGGCGTATTATGCACGTGAGTATCGAATTTGTATTGCTTTTTTGAAGAATGTTTTATATAACTATTAGTTATTTTTAAATAGGTGATGATAAAATCTTGGCAGTTGCCACAATATCCAAAGATCCTTTAGCTTCTCACAGTTCAGAACTGGTTTGTTATATTAGTAATGTTCGTCTCTATTTATCGTAAGAGGTTACTCTTGGCCTGATTATTTTTTAAATTTATACAGTTGAGGCTTGATGCATTTCCATCGGCAACTGAAATTAGAAATGGGAAGGTATATAATATTAGTGTCTCTATATGATTATCTTGTTTATATACACTATATGTCACTTATCTCACTATCTGACATTCGTATGTATAAAATAGAACCCTCTCGATGTTCCCTTGATAGCAAAATCACGTTAATGTAAAGAGGAGAATTTAGTCGATACTTTAATTACTTTGTTTATATTATCCTATAGTAAACCGATTTCAAAAGCTTGATATTTATTATTGGTTGTATCATATTGAATAGTGTTCATATTTAACAGAACTTAAGTACAATATAGTTAACTTTAGTTATAATGAATTTGTATTAAAATTTGGGTTGGAATTAATCAGATTTGCAATTTTTGTATTATTTTCCGAAAGACAGAAAATAACGGTAGAGGATTTCCGATGAGTGATAGGAATCGACTAAATTTTTTAGTCACTAGTCGTATAACATAATGTTAGAGTCAAATCTTCTCTAAGTGTACGTGTTATGTAAACTCTCTCTAAATGCTTGGCATAGTCCGGTCCCAGCTTATAAGAGCTCTATGTATTTTGCTCTCTATAAATGCATACCCTCTCTAAGTGCACACTTTTTAATTTTTTTCCTATGGTCCCAAAGGGGTGCACTTAAGAGGTCTGACTGCTGGACTGCGATTTACTTTTGCGCGGGTAACACAAACCAAAAAAATAAACTAAGTGCGTAAAATAGAAGTTTAGGATTAGGACGTTAGGGCTGTGAGCTTTGCGATAAGTTGGAGATTTTTATATGTAAAATTTCATCCCCGTTATTTTTTATTAGTCCACAAAGGTCGATTTAAACACTAGTTTTTGAGTATTTTCGCTTTCTTTTCTTTTTTTCTTTCGCGCGTGTTCGGAATACCCGAAATTTGTGTTCTCTGATTGGCCATTCTCTTTTTAGAGGTTTGTATTACCCGCGCAAATAAGTGGATGCGGTCTGACTGTACTAGTTTGCATTAGCATATAGATGGGCAAAATGTGCATTTTGAGCCATGTTATGCGCATAACACCACCAGCTCTAAAGATAGGTTACTAGACTAAACTTCAAGAAAATGATTTTTGCAAAGAAAGAGTCTTTGTTTTTGAATATCTAAAAATAGAATAGATATTATCAACTATATACAGTAAGACCTCCCTAAGTACACACTCTATAAGTACACGCCCTATGTAAATTCTCTCTAATTGCACGGCATAGCTTATAAGAGCATTATATATTTTGTTCTCTATAAATGCACACTCTCTTTAAGTGCACATTTTGCTTTTTTTTTACTATGGTCCCGAGGGGGTGCACTTAGGGAGGTTTTACTGTATAACTAAATTTCATTAATAGCAGCATCAGCGATGATGGTACCTTCTTTTAATTTATATCGTTTATCATGTAATTTTTTCATCCATTTAACATAAATAACGCTAAATAAAACAAAAATCTGCATATAACAAAAACTAGTAATACCTCCAATAAAAGCTGCTTGGTCTGCCGTTTTGGTTTTATAAATAACTAGAAAACGGACAGGAACATCAAGAAGTAAAGCAAATCCCCAAACAGCAGTCAAGACAATAAAAGTTTGTCGAAACTCAGCGTAAGTTCTCCAATACCTTTCCCAACGCTCAGGAATAGGCTCATCTTCTGTTAACCCTTTAAAATTACCCATTTCCATAAACTTAAAATTATAATACAATAAAGGTCGTATTTGGTATGAACCAACTTTTATAGGAATCAAAGTGATAAAAAATACTAGACCCATTACAAAGCTGATAATTGATGTATTCAATTGTTGCAATATGTTTAACGTAACGTAACCTTGAACTATCGATAATATGATTTCAGTAATAAAACCAGTCGTACTGAGTATTCCCGTGACGTCGACTTGTTTACGAAAGATAAAATTAATGATAACAGAAACAAACGGTATGGTACCTGAGATGACTAGTGCCAAAATAACAGGTACACTAAAATATAAAAGAACATAATAAAGGGTGATCGGTAAACCAACATCAACAATTGTCATGAATAAGGATAGTAATAAATTCATTCTTTTGTTTTTCTGGGTTGAATTACTTTGAGTGTTGAAGGTGCTGACAGCTTTAGTGCCGTGGAGAGGGCTCTTGGTTCTAATACTGTTGAGGGAGCTGGTGTTTCTAGTGCTTTTCGACTTGATCCTTTAAGATGAGATATTTTATTTCCTTTGAAAATTTTTTATTTTACAAATTCGACACTTTCATGAGCTTAAATGCAAAACAACTCAGCCTAAAAAAACATCTTATCCATCCTCAAAAGACCCATACATGACATTGGGTTTTAATAATACCATGCCATTTATGGAACTCTGCTGCTTAGTTATAATCTATAAATATCGTACTTTTGAAAATGTTTAGGTGAGTCGTTTAGATTGTCACCTCACTATTTTTAGACTATTTAATAAACTCATTGTACTTGGTTATGATCTGCGCGTAATCTATCCAGGAGGGACCAAATTAGGAAATGCACGAAAATCGTTACATGATTTATTCGTAGATCATTATGAAACATATGTACAACTATGCAACGGTGGGAAGTAAATCCCCGGTTATTTGAGGACCCGAATGGTTCTTATAGGCCGGACTATCGACATGAAGTCTGATTGTTTAGCACATTAACGCATATCAAGCTGACAAAAAAAAAGTAGATGTTTTTATTATATTGGGTCATAATTAGTCTTTAATATTTAATAAAGCCAACTCTAGCCCTAACGTACTCCTAACCCAAAACAAATCTTAACTTTAACACAAAATAAATGAAAAAATCGGATGGTATATACGTAAATGATATGCAATTAAAAATCAGAGATTGTGTTTGGTATTATGATTAGTGAAAGGCATTACTCAACTTGAACTAATTTAACAAAAAAATATGTATCTTTTAAACTAGTAACAGCACATGACGTACAATCTTTTCGATATACTGTACATTTTAGATCTATTTTTAGATTACCATAAAATTTCTATACTTTTTCGATGCTGATATCCAGACAGAACAATAACCCTTTTTTTCAAGTATTTTTTTTAAAAAAAATTTTGGTATGATATGCAACATTTCCAAATATTTTCTTTATTATCTAATTTCATGCTGTATATCTTTCATATGTAATTTAAACGTGGAAAAATGTTTAGAAGCCCTATGGAAAAAAGTTTTACGGAATTTTAAATGAATTATACGGAATATTTAGTATAATTCTGTATTACATACGGAATTCGACGCAAATTATGTGTTTTATATACGCAATGAACATAAAGAGTTACTCCATTTCTTTATAGATTTCGCATATATAAAATACGGCGAATTCCGTATGTAATACAGAAATATACTAAATTTTCCGTATAATTCATTAAATTCCGTAAACTTTTTTCATAAGGAATATATTTTAGAAAGGTCGCATATCACGCCAAAGATTTTTGAAAGAATGAAAAAAAAGGTTTAATTGATAATTCGTTTCCGAATGAGAATAATATAAGTTTTACTATAGCCGCAAATGTCATTTCACCACAAAGTCAAGGTATTTGTCTACTAAATAAATTTATTTTTGGCTTCTAAGTAAAGGCATAGAGTTTAATTTTCTGATTCTAATAGTATATCATTAAAGTTGGTTTAGTAGATGTTGAGATATAAGTAAAAAACGATTTGCCGATATATGTAAACAAACTACGTATACAGTACGTACATGAAATGAACATTTTGGCTTAGCGATTTACTGTAATAAACTATAGTCGCGTGCGTCACAAAAATGTGCAGATCACCAAGAAATTCTATTAAAAAAATGCTTGTGCAAGAAACAAGAGGGACGTAGCATTAATCCAGTGAACTTTTTATGCTGAATGAATAATTTTAGAATAGTTATAGATAATAAAATTAAGACAAAGTTATTATAAAAATAAAAATTGAAGGGAGAAGGAAAGTTGTTATCGTTTGTGAATGCTTTAAGTTATTAAGATTTAATCCTCTTACAATAAAATTATCGTCTTTCACGTGTGTCCTGTACATTTTATCAATCATTTTGTTCATGTGAATAACCAATTATTTTAATGAGTTCACTACTATGGAAGAAAATCTCACGTTTCAGGATAGAATAAAATCCAGTTGGCTATGTAAATCAATCAGTTAATAAAATTACGTATTAGAATACAATTTTTTGATTTAACTATTATGGGTATAAAATACCCCTATTTAAAATTTGTACCATGTACGCACCTACCACACTGATCCGTGTTATTATTGTACGGCCATGTTGTTACTGTCATTTGATCATATTTGTACGGTTGAGTTTTAAAATTCTTATTAGACAAAGTCGATAACATAATCAACTCTACCTAATAAGTATTTAACTGTACAAAATGATCAAAATTTGGTATAGCAGTAACAAGCAACTGGACAATAATACCGTTATTGTATGGCTGGATAAAAATTGACACGATGGTATGTATGGGTGATAAGTGATCGAATCAAACATCTGTCAAAGATATGTGGCCCACTATCGCGGCCCACATATCTCCGACAGATGTTTGATTCGATCACTTATCACCCATACTAGTGTTCCAAATCGGACCAAAAAATGTAATCGATTAGTTGGCTAAATTTTTTTTGAGCAATCGATTAAAAATCGATTGTACCAACTAATCGATCGAATTAATCGATTAGTCGATTAATCGATTAATCGAATTAGTCGATTAATCGATTAATCGATTTATTCCATGGGTACTATGTAACAACCCGTGCTTTTTTGACAAGGTTATTTTCATCGGTCGATATGAAAATCACATGATTTTCATATAGACCGATATGAATAACCTTGTCATAAATTATATGCTAAAAATGACTTTTATTCGGGTTTGGGTTTTTTAATTTGTTATGTA